CTTCCTACTTAATAACCTGCACTCAACAAGGAGTGAAAACCAAGATAATAGTAATAAATGAATTAAATAGAACGCCACAAAAAAAAATTGATAATTTAAAATCAATTCGAGAAAAGATAATGATGAAGACGCCATAAGTTATCTTAATAAGTAGATATCAATTCTCCACTCAACAAAAAAGTTGAAGAAAACCCCATTATTTAAAAACTAAAAATTCATAATTTTATTGATTGAAACTTGAATTATTACGACTATAAATTGATTCCCTATTTATAGTGTAAGCCATGTAAACAATACGGAAAATAATCTCCAAATTTAATGGAGAAATTACATAAAAAATTTAAATATAGAATAAAATAGGAAAACTAAAAAAATTAAGAGAATTGCAATTAATATAGGATAGATATTATCTCCCTTTTTAAATAAAGAAGATGTTAATTAATTATGGAGATTTTGGACAAGAAATTCTAGTAAGATATTTTCCTCTTTGTCAAGTATTTTCCTTTTCCGTAAGATTTGATATTTAAGAAAATTTTCTATTTCTCAAGATATCTTGAGATTTAGAATCAATTTTCTCCCTTGGCCGATTCTCCTTCTCAAGAAGAAAGATTTCTGTGGGATTAGAAAGAAAATCTCACAGGAGTTTTTCTTTTCCTTGCTCACATCAACAGAGTTCTTTCACAAACACTTCTCGTTTCAAGATTTTGTTTTTTTTGGTTAGCCAACCTTGGGTACCACACATCTGCGACTTCACCTAAGAATGGTAAGCAACTTTGATCTTTAGTTCATCTAGTGTGCCACGAACTAAGAAATACTTGCTGCACCACCTTACCCAAACCGTAGGATTAATTCCTTCAAACAAAAGGATTTTCACCTTAGGTCTCAATGCGCGTATGGGAAGGTATATCCTCAGGGTCATGCATTGCTTGTGAGGGAAGAATTCCTCTTCCTTTTGTAATAGCTGACAGTGAGTGATTGGTCTGGTTGTTTGACTCATTGGTTCATACTACCACGTAACATTTCAACTGTTTAATCAAATTATTGTTTGATTTTGAGATGTGTTTTGTACACCTCAATCATGAATTCTGTGAGTTATTGATCGACCTCCTTTACGGAATCCTCCACTGGTTGCATCTTGTCTTGCTCCATCACAACGAATTTTCATTTGGACCGAGTTCGTGATGCTACAGAAGCATGGCTTTCACCAGATTTTAATGGCTCCAGTGCCAACTATTCAAGAACCTTCTCATGGGTTCGTGACTACATTGGTTAAGCATAATAGGGATAAGGACGAAGAAAGAGGGAAAGAGGAGTTGAAAGCGAAATTCATGCTTTAAGAGGGAGTCGAGAGAGAAATCCACGCTTTCCTTCCCACTAGGAAGTCGTTTATATAGGTATAGGGGTGCACCGGTTAGTTGCACGCATCATTTATGGTTACAACCGAATGAAAACAAAAATCTATGCCGTAACCGAAGTACAAAATTACCCTCTTTCCTCACACCTATTTACCCTTTTACCCTTCTTCCTTTCATAACTTTAAGCGGCTTCCTTTACACACACAAAGAGATGAAAACTACTTTGATGCAGGACAAGGAGAGGGTGAAGGGAAACAAAAGTTAAGCAAGAAATAGAGAAGTAGAAAAGATTCTTAAGAATGATCAATAATGAGGGTGAACGATACTATGCTAGAGGTAGTCTTTGTAATTTGTATGGGCACCAACAACATAACCATATACAGAAAGATGTCTTCAATTGTAGAATTTCAAAAGATACATCTGCTAGAATAAAAACTAAAGTTTCCTAAATAAGTCTTAACCTTCCAGACTACTTAATAATTGCCTATGTAACCAAAATATTTCTAATAATGAGTACAATGTCATAGTCAACAGTTATTCTACTAATATTTCCTAATAATGTTATTCTTCCATTTTAATGTCTTCCTATTCGGCATTGCTCTCCCCCAAATGGTAATAACCTCAAGTTTTAGTTACAAGGCATCAAGAAATTGAATCCTTGGGCATGTATTTCAAAAGTGTGGATTCAAAGAGAAGGTGAAACCAAGTAGGCACCACAAAATCAACAAGAGGAAGTGTTGGCAGTAGGCACACTCTGGTTATCAACTTCAGCCACCCAAAAAAAGATATTCTCATTTGTCATACATCTTCCATCATATTTTATGACCACCTTTACTCAAAAAACTTGATAACTAGCTTTTCTACCTTTCATGGGATTGTGCAGAATAGTAGTTGGAATTTGGAATTTGCTCACTATTGATTCCTTATTTCAGACTTCTTCCAATTCATGTGCTTACTTACCTAGATTTATTGAATTTTTTCAAATCTGTTAACTTCTCTAACAAAAGATCCAAGGTTTTCATCAACTGTGAATCTGCCCATTCCAATCATTTTGTAAAACTTTCCTTCACTTCTTTTTGGGCTTCAACATCAGCTCTAGAAGTATAAAAGTTGTCAAGTTCGTTTTGTCCCTTTGTTTTCATATCACAGGAAAACTTTAGTTCCGCCTACTTCAGCCCTTGGACAGTAACATTGGATGTCTGATGAACGACAGTGCATGTAGTAGAATTTCTCCACATAACAAGGATGATCTCATATCTCAGGCCTAAATTGCATCTGGACATGGTTCCTACCAAAAAAAAAACCAACAATCTAAGAGAGTTTCATATTAATCAAATTCTTTGCATGCACATCCTCTGTTATTTGGCATTCACAAAGTCCATGATACACTTAGACTAGGAGAATATGATCAGGCTTATCCTCTGTTATTTGAATAATGATCGTTAAAATTGAAAATGATTTACGCAACAAAAATGGAAAGAAAAAAATTCACAATTTCAGGTCATCTAACAAAATCCTAAAGCGAACCATAGAGTATAAACAAGCAGCAACAAAAAGAAAATAATTAAATACCATTAAATGCAATGAGTATGCAATATGATAGTGTTCTATTGATTAACTCCAGAATCATTAATTTATTTACTTGTTACCCACAACTCTGGACCAGTACAAAAAATGAAATGAAAATGAATTTTACCTGCATGCTATGAATCCACCATGACAACCAGCTGCCTTACTCAAAGTGCCAACACATAGGTCAACATCTTTTTCACAATTAAATTTCTCAGCCACTCCCCCACCCCTTTTGCCACACACAAAAGTTCCATGGGCCTGACAAATCATGGATTAAAGAAAATAATAGTAATGAGAAAAAATTACACCAAATTAAATTTGTCAATAACAAAGTTTCAAGCCCGCATAAGACTTCTAACCCCTCCTTATAGTCCCATTACCACCTCTAAATTCAAGATGACTTACATCATCGATGACTAATAGAAAGCCATGCTTCTTACGAAGCTTAGCAAGCTCAACTATTGGTGCAAAGTCTCCATCCATACTAAATAAGCTGTAACAAGGAAGAGAAGAAGAGATCCACTAAAGTCAGGGAGAGACATATAATTTTGATCATGCAAAGCATCCAAGGTATGGTTACAATAGTTGAAGGGGCAAAAATTTACCTAAAAGAGTGCTAAATAGTATCAGATCATTTAATAAAAAAGGTAGCATAGGGTTTATTACTAAGAATAATAATTTGTTTAAAAAGACTAACCTGTCAGTGACGACAACTTTTTTCTTAACTCTGCAAGTTGACCTGTTCAAATACTAATAGTTGGCCTTGACATAAAACACTAGATGGAATAAATCAAATGAAAAGGAATGAGAGAAGTGAACTGGAAAAGCAATTACAGCAAAGCATCAAGATGGAACATGTCACAGTGTCTATATACAAAAACTTCAACACTTCCTCGTCGTTCGACAAGATGGATTCCATCAATTATTGATGCATGATTCAGTGCATCAGAAAAAATTGCAACTTTTTCTTCCTTCAAAGGTTTCTGACCCCTAGCCAAGAGAGAGCCAACACTTCCAATTGCTACCATCAAGGCCATATTGGCAGCAAATCCTGTAGGACAAAGAAGGCAATCCTAGAACACAGATCGAAAGCAAGACCTCATCAGTTCTTAGTGAGGTATCTTAGGATGAGTAACAAACAGAGTTGATACAGAAAAGAATATGCATAATAGTGTTGAACTGATGATGGGGTCTTTTAGGATGAGTCACAAACAGAGTTCATAGAGAGGAGAATTTGAATAATGGTATTGAAGATGATGGAGAATCTAAAGATGAGTCACAAACAAAGTTGACAGAGAAAAGAATATGAAGAATAGTATTGAACTGATGATGAGGTATCTTAGGATGAGTCACAAAGTACTGAACTTCCTATTAATGAAATAAATGATCATCATGCTCTTTAAGTTGCCAAATTATCAGCATTCTAAATCAAAATCTTTCCTCTTCTTATGCAACCTACTAGTTCAATAATGATTTCTTGTTTCCTCTTCATCTTGTTATCCAGGATAAACAGAACTAAGTCAAAAAAATGGGCAGATAGGCAAACAAGAAACAGGAGAAGGCCATAAATCTTAACACCTTAGTTCCATAAAACATTTTACAAATGCCCTTTGCCTGAACAAAGTAACCACTTGGCATATGCCTTGATATATCAAGAAAACCACAACTATAGAAATTAAAAAAAAAATTAATGCAGCTGTACCTCCTTCTTCTTTAAGTCTGCCAAGCATGACTCTAGTAACCTATGATAATTGGTATACCCGCAGACTAAAGCGGAACCCCTCGGGCCCATTCCATGTTCTCGAGCCGCCTGTTTGTAAAGTGTAATTCTAAATGTATTAGCCTTAAATTGGGGGAGAAAAAGTATGGTAAATAATTGATCAGGAAAACAAGGGAAAAAATGATAAAAATATGAAACGTGCTTTTGCAGCAGCATTCCTAATTGTGGGATGTGAACTCAATCCCAAGTAATCATTTCCAGAGAATAAAAGAAGCCTCCTGAATTGCTGCATTTCACCCGAGCCAACTTTACCATCAGCAACTCCATCCCTAACAACAATCTCGTCTCCTATAACAGAAAGTGAGTTTGGAATACATTAATAATTCTTTGCTCTAACAAATATTTCTGTATACAACAAACGTAATTTATACCCCATCTTCATTCATTTTAGTGAAGCGAAAAGCAAATAACCCAACTGTTAAACACGATTAGTTGGTAAGTCAAAGTAACTCTGTTTCTGTTGACACCCTAGCACTTCAATCCTTCCCAGCAGATATGATTAGACTCAAGGTAATACGCAGTTTAAAGCCACAAACTAGAAGCAGTGTTCTTTTTCTCCAAAAAAAAAAAAAAAAGACACCAACTTAACAAAAAAACTAAAAAGAGAGAGAGAAGAAGCAGTGAAGAAAACGAAATAGACCAACACTCTGTATGTTGCGTTTGTAAGCAACACAAATGGGATACAGAGAAGGAAGTTACCGGAACTGGGGATGTCATGGAGCCATCTCTGAAAGGTGGGTTCTGAGATTGATACCTCAACAGAGGATCTATCCCATGCCTGCATTTCATCGAACACCTGGTATTCCTCGTCATTAGCTCTTGGTTCTTGGCTCCGTGATTGTTGTTCAGTGGAAAGGTAAATGGGTCTTAGAGATCGCAATACTTTCAAGGACTCAAGCTTTGTAAGTGCGTCTTCTACCCACTGATTCCATGAGCCCTGCTCCATTTTCGCGAAGTACAATGAAAATGGAAGGTCAGAAAGAGAGAACGGGAGAGTAGAGTAGGTAGCTCCTGAAAAGAAAATTGGAGAGTAGTTTTGTTAGGTATAACAGGATTAACAATGAGAGGCTAGTTAGCTCGCTGAATGCGAACGCAGACACGATGCTAGTGGAGGGATCAAGGTGGCTTTGAAGATGGAGGGCCCATTAGAAATGCTATGAAGGGATCAAGTTTTTGTGGGGGTGACAAAAGTATTTGATTTAATTGGTTTAATGTTAATAAAACTACCGAGATGAGATTGAATTTCGTTCAATAAATTATTATATATCTAGTGGCAATAATAGATTACAATTTAATTTAATTTTTTTTATTTATATAAAAGAAATAGTTGAAATCCTTCTCCACAATGTTGTTCTCGTTAACCCATCACAAACGAAGTTTTTTTCATGACCCCCTATGCACTCGGCTTACTTATGTAAATTGTGTCGTGTTTAGCCTTTTTATTTTTGAGATTCACTAACAACAAATCATCATAAGATGCATAGAAAAAGTAGTGTATATATAATATTGATGAAATTTCTCAAACATTTTATATCTTGAGATAATTTTTTAAGACGTGTAAGATAATCTTATTTAAATGAGTATTAGAAATAGAATTTTCATCTACCAAAGTTTGAGAATGATTTTTGATATACATGTATATATATATATTTTTTAAAAAAAAAAATTTAATTAAGACACAGGTATATTTTGATATTGTCATAATAAAAATGAATTGGGTGGATATTAGAATGAGAAATTATGAAGCTAAACTAATTCTAAGACGGGCAGAGACAATGAAGCCATAATTAACCTCTATATATGACCTGATTTTTGCTTGCTAACTCCACCTAAAAAATAGTTAATATGAAATTCGTATTTCTTATTAAATCGACGTTTGAGTATATTGTAAAAAATTTATGAGTTATTATGACAATAATTGTTCTCTTTAGATATCAAAGCATTTATTGAGTTGTATGTATGTCAATATAACCAAATTTATTTTGTGCATAAATTGTGAGAACTTACTCATAAAGAATAAGATGTTTAATTATATAATTTGTAGGTTAAACTTTTAAAATACAGTGGCACCAATGTAATTATGAAGAATAAGGGAAGATAAGGTTAATATTGATATAATATTAATTTCCATGATTTGGAATATTTTAGTATGAACAGTAAACTTTGTAAAATTTGTGGCAGTGTGAATGAGTTTAGTCTTTAGAAAATAATGTAATTGTTAGGAATCATTTATTTACTTTGTTTTACAATTAGATGTCTGTAAAGATTATTGGTTATAAAATCACGTCTATAATATATATATATATATATATATATGAAGATTAACGTTACAATTAGTAGTATTAATTAATTAAGAATGTAAAGAGGATTAATTTATATATCTGAAATGGGCTATTGAAGAATCTGTTGTTGAGGTTTCAAATTTGTATATTTCTTTTGTCTCTTGTTGTATATTTTGGGTCCCAAGAGAGTTTAATTAGATGCATATCAATCACTAATTTAATTATAGATACATTGTATATTATATGTGCATATAAATATATACTCTTTTAGATAAATATGTAATAACTAATATGTGATTAATCACATCATCAAATACTATTAATTATTTTATTAGATGCGTGC